GTGAGTTAGACTCAATGTTGCGGTTCGTTCCTCTTGGGTCTAGAAGTATTGCACCGTTATAGGAAAAATGTGTAGTATTAATTAAAAAAAGACAACATTAGATAGTGCACAGTAGAGTGCATATTGCCAAATCAGTTACGGTAAATATTAATTGTGACTTTTATTTACACTAAATTTATTTTTAATGTAACATTTGACAATGTTTAAAGATAATGTTGCACAAATACGAAACAATGTATTTTTCTACTCTCTACATTATATTTATTAAGTGTTTTTAGTGTTAACAACATATAGTTACCTTAACGAGGCTTCCATTATCGTATTCAGTTAAATTCATATGCAAGCCGAAGTCATACAGTTTGTATGTTATATTACACTGGTCAACACAAGTCTTGTTTCCTTCATTTTTTTTCTTATTTTGTATTTTTATGGCTCTGAGTATGAAGAAAATACTGGGAGATAGCTAATAGCTTCAATTTTTTAACATTGTTTTATCATTTTGATGAAAAAATGTAGTTCGATATGGGTTTTCTATATTTTACAAATACATATCCACCACAAATATAGCAAAAAGGATTAATTACACAACATCTTGTTGACGAAACCATATCGAAAACGATAACAAAATATATTTCAGTCAAATAAAAACCGCAAATCTAAGTTGAACATAGTAAATGAGGGAAGTTAGCTGTAACTCAAAAACAAAAGCTGTAAGAGAAAAATTGCTGCTATATACAAACAATACGCGTTAATTCATAATAAACGAAAAAAAATCGATGGAATCAAATTTTTTTTGTTGACCAGTGTTATAATTATTTACTAGTTTTAATACTGTTTAATAGATATTTATAAATGACTATTTAAAATCCAGTCGCCATTTTGATTTTATAATTATTGGCAGCCATAATTGGCATTATCTTTTTAATATAATTATGTAATATTCTTATATGTATTATTTACAACAATATATAAAATATATATTGATATATAAGACTGGGATGGTTTACTGACTTAATATTCTATAATTATAAAGATGAACGCCTACTTTTTCGTGCCAAAAGAGCCCAAGTTCAGATTTTTTCGGTAGTTTACCGGTTTGGCTCACCGCTTTACTTCTGTTCCTCCCACGGTACAAATATTTGTATTCCTGAGTGCTATTCTTTTACGGATGATAATGGAATGATGCACCCGCCTGCGCTAACGGTTTACGCTGGCGGGGCACCAGTGGACCATGATAAGATAATGTAATGATGTCAGGTCAGTTAGCCCATCGTGACAAATTCATCAAGAATTTATCACGATGGTTTCCAGGGGGAACCGCGTGGAGGTCGACCAGACATGGTACATTGCTAGCAATGAGATCATCAGTCCACATTACTAACAATCCCCTTTCCCCCTTCATGAGTGCTATTATTTGTATCGGTTTATTTACCTATGTATTTGTATCAGTTGTCTAGTACCCATACCACAAGCTTTAGCTAGCTTAACTTGAGTCTAGATGGCGCTGTGTGATTATAATTATTAACTCTGAAAAATTATAAACAAACCAATCTAGCTAGTGCAAGCTAGATAAAACGTCGAGAGAGGCTTTTTTTTACCATAAAATTATTCGTGTTAATACCCGGTTAACAATATAAATAATGCTTAGTCTCAAGCTAAGCAGTATGTGTTATGGTTACTAAACAACCAATAGAAATACTTAGATACATTTTAAATATATATATAAACCACCAAGGTCGATGTCGACTTACTATTATTGTCTTTCGACGCATATAAATGCGATTTCACCTCTCCATATCCCAAATTTAATATACATTTTTAAGATTCTTTCATTTTAACAATAGCATATAAGTTATACATTTGTAAGTTTTCTAACGAATTTATTCTTTTCTTGCCAACTTTAAAATCAAACCAAAATATCTTTATTCATATCTGTATATTAATTACAGACTCTTATGATATGTCAAATTTACCGTCAGCTCGGAGTGTCTTCGAGCTGAGAACTGACAAGAAACTCAGCTCTTATTCTTTTCAAATGAGCTTGTACATGATTAAAAAAAACAGATTCAGTTTTAAATTCAATTGGAACGACATTATCCCTAGTTGAATTAAAAAATGAGCATTGTATCCAATGCAGTCTTTGATACATTTTTTCTATAAGGTTAATATTGTCTTATTAGAAACAATTGCAATGTAGACACAAAATTGATGCCAATAAATTTGTCCTCTTCTTTTCACTCTCTAGACATTTCTAATAAGTTTAAGCGGGAGAAAACATTCAATATCATAATCTATCAGCGACTCTTGGTTATAAAATTTATAGAGGCGTCTGCGTGTGTACCTCTCTTTTTTCAGCAATCAAGTAGCTTGCCTTGTAAAATATCTTTGAGATGAGATATGGTAGTGACATGACAAGATATAGAAACTCTAATCCTCCTGAGATAACAATATCATATGATAACGTGAAGACCATGGTGCTGTTCATATATATGGTTACGGTTGAGGTGAGCGGTGAACAGCCATTCGAACTATATTTTAAAAAATGGAGATGCAAGCGCGAGGAGGAACATTCGAGAAAATATTATTGGCATCAATTTCATTGCAATCTTTATTTGGTTATTTAATCCTAATAGTAACCATTCCAAAGTCATTCCTACATCAATATAATTCTTGTAATGGATTAGAATAAATATACTAATTTCTAATATAATCTATGTGTTAATATTACCTTCTGTGGGCATTCATAAATTACGACATACAATTTTTTTATTCCCCCCCTCATTCGTTGTAACCGACGGTCACATGTGACATACTCCCCTCGCTAATAATGACGTCACATATTTTGCAATACACTTGTACAGTAGATGAACATAGGAATACTTTAAAGTTACTCATAAATAGTGCAAATATCGTATAACTAAGGTGTATTACATTTTAAAATGTGACGATATGAAATTTTAATACATCTCCCCCCTTGTCACATAATGTCACACTTTGTCCACCTCCTCTGACATGTGATAATATGAATGGACCCTTACTAATTTAAGTTTTTAAAGATGTTTTAATGTTTCTTAGTCAATTTTGCGTAATTGCTGTGCGGATTTGAATTCAATTTCATACACATATAGATCATATCCTAGATTAAGATATAGAATAATTTTATGCTGATTCACACAAGTAAAGCGTGATATACAGCTAGTGAAAGATATGGTCCAAAATGTATCAGAAACTTTATTCAAATTCGTTCAGTTAAGAATCTTTCAGGGTTGCTAATCAATATGTATAGTCTCTATAATTCGAAGTTTATAGATTAGACTAACCGTTTTGCATCAGGCAAGCCGTATATTTATAAACTTTAACAATTATGTTAATAGAAAAATGATCAATTTTCAGTCTCCCATCGAATTTATACGTATAATTAGTAAAAATCACGGGATCTTACCACGTTTTATATTTATTTGCTGAGTTCCCGATATTTCGGTAGTGTTTCAACCACAATGATCACGGGTAAACTGAAGAGCAGCGGGTAGATGGAAAATGAAATCTTTTTATGGGCAGACATGTGCGTCTACCTTCACACGTCTTCGTTTGTTGCTACTACTGGAACTCGCTCGATATTCATCTCGGCAAACTGTACTCACAGTATCTTTACGTACATTTTTGATCGCGTTTTTTGTTTTTGTTTAATTAAACCAATCACTGGATTCCAGGCATTAGAGAGCCTATAACCGTCTTCTCGATTGAAATTTTTATATTTCTGTATTTCAATGGCCTCTCTAACCATTCTTGGGATATAATGCCGTTCTGATGTTAATACTTTTGGTTGGTGTAGTTCAATCCAGTGATTGGGTCCCGATCCCATAATCCGATCCCAGTAATTATACGTATAAATAATGACCGCGTCAAGTTTAAAACAGTATATCCCATCGAATTATCAGTTTGGAACTATTTCGCCAGCAAAATGTATCGAAACTGATGCTAGCTTATTTAAAAGTAATTACATTAATACATTTATTTAAAATCAGTACATATTTTATAGAAACCCCGAGAATCTTCCCAGTTTATGTATACAGTATAAAGAATTATGTTTTGAACAACGAAGTTGATCCAATCAAATAAGCGTTTAAGTTAATAGTAACATTTTTTTTAAGTTACTTGAATGGCAAACAAGCTGATGGTAAGTGGTAACCGTCGTCTACATACATGAAGAGCATCAGGGTGTCTAGTAACGCCCGTTATCTCGCCATTATAAAAACATAATACTGTACTTTCAATGTATCGATTTGCGTAAAAAAATAAAAAAATAAACTATTCTGTTTTGGTTGGATAGGAATGTTTATCTAAAAACTATAATTATTAATTCCACACATTATATAAACGGAGTATTTATATATTCTATAGTTTATTACTATCATTATTTACTTGACCCGTGACGAAAATACTTGTACCCAATTATCGGAATAATTACATAATTCTAAACAATCTTGAAATAATGTTTGAATACAAATGGATAATGTTCTAAGAACTTGTAATTAATAATTTATATTAATCAATGACTTTAGCGGCAACTTAGTAATTTAATTATCGTAATATTATATTAATATTTTTAAACTTTATAAACATTTTTAATTTTTGTTATTAAAATTTATGTACAAGTAACTCGACTCATTCTTAACTAAATGTATAAAATGAACACCATTAATAAAAGAATAATATTTTAGACATGTATTTTTATTTTATTCCTAATTAGTTGAAGCTGTTAAATTAAGTCAATCCATTATTTTTTTATTGCCATATGGCAGTGTTCGTTTACTTCACTGGCAAGAAACTAGAATGGTATATTTTTTAAAATCATTACATCTAGTTCGTTTTAATAAAAATCCTGATTTTTTTCATTATTTGCCCAACTTTGTACATAGTCAACGTGAGTATCCACCTATGGCATCGTTTAAAAGATATTGCACTTTGTCTCAAAAATAAATCACCTCGTTTTTTTACAGCTGGAACCGTTCTTGGAAGAAGAGGCTGGCGATATGGAGGTGTCCTGTAACCCCAAGATGATGTTAACGCCAGACGATATCACCCCCATATGCGAAAAGCACCCCAACGGGTCGCCCCCCATTTTCAAAAACAATTCGAACGCGAACTTCGACGAGAAATCATCCCCAAACAAAAATGAACACTTCGCAAGATCAGCCAGCGCTGCATTAGTGTCGTCGCGAGTCGATATCGATAAAAGTAGAAAGACGACGCCTGCATCATCTAAACATGGGTTACAGAATATCTCCAGCAAAAATCATCTGCCAAGTAACCCATCTCTATTGGAGTCGGTCCCAGAAGGCAGGAGTTCAAGAGTGAACTCACAAGAAGCATTTGGTAAAAAGCTAGCCGTTCCAAAAACACCGAAACGCAGTCCTTCAACTTCCAGTTTTCAATATATGTCAACACCATTCCATGGTTCAACTTTATCCGCATTCGAAAAACCAAGTGAATTCGCATCACAATTCAGTCTAAAATCAGTTACTGAGAGTTTAGCTCCAATTAGCTACTGTTGTGGTTGGAAGAAGCGACCAAAGGACGACGAAACTAAAAAGGAACCAAGCAAATATTTCGATGTACAACTATTAAAAGATCCAATTTACTTAGTAATCCTAATTTCGAACTGTACATGCGCAATTTCATATACGAATTTTATTATACTAGTGCCTTCATACGCGCAGGAATGCGGTTTCGATAAATCATTAGGTGCGTATCTTTTATCGATAATATCAGCGCTCGATTTGATCGGCAGAATCGGTGGGTCAGCACTATCCGATATAGTAATGACACCGAAACGGTATTTCTTTATATTCGGTCTATTATTGTCGGGTATCAGTTTAGCTATAATACCGTTGGTATCGAGTTATTTAGCTGTTAGCGTTTTTTGTTCCATATTCGGTATCGCGTCTGGAATCAACGTAGGTGTCACCGCTTTGGTTATGACGGAAATGTTAGGTACAGAAAGGCTAATGTCGTCATATGGTATTAGCTTATTTGTAAACGGTATTGTCCAGTTGGTCGGCCCTCCTGTCTGTGGTATATGGTTTGAACGCACTAAATCTTATAAATCATTATTTATAACACTTGGATTTATACTTATTAGCGGTGCAGCGCTTTGGGGCTTCGTCCCTTTGATACATAGAAGAAGGAGGCTGGCTGAAAGAAAGTCTTTATCTGAAAAGGCGTAATACAGTTATAAACTTCTTTCACGGCTGTTTACAATTATACACACTATACAAAAGAGATACTTACCGCGATAATGTTATTTATGAGTTCCCGATATTTCGACGCTGTCACAACAGTGATTCCCACGAGCAGAGCTCTGTACTATAACGGCATCGGTATATCGGAAACTCGTAAATAATATCACGGTAAAAATCCCGTTTGTATAATGTGTACAAAAGCGTAATAATAAGTGAATGGTACAGGTATAGATGTAATACCTATTAATATAGGTTGATTGTTTTTAATAGCGTTTTGTAAGTACTTAATTTAATATGTCATACAGTATACTAATATTAGTGACATGCATATGGTGAGCACATCGGTATAAGAAAAGTAATCACAGTTGTAAACTTTTTTCACGGTTGTTCAATTGTACACATTTTATAAACATCCCATTTGTACAATGTGTACATGATAAATATGAAATAATTAAATTTAATTGTTATTCTCGTATCGGAATATGTATAATACAATACATTGTGTATTGATGATATCAATTTGCGTTTTTTAATTAAAACGTTTCAAATTGCATATTAATTGAAGTTACTAATACATTCCTAAACTCACCCGTGTCTTTTTGAAATGAATAGCAAATAATTTTTCTAAATTTAATTATTAAACTTAATGGATGTATGTATGATTAAAAATTATAAATAAATGTCATTTTATTAATAATACAGTCAATTAAAACGCTTTCTAATAAACTTTATAACAAAGTATTATAAAGGAAACAACAGACAAATAATATTGTTACATAATGTATACTGAAAAAGTCGTAATCGTAAAATAACTTTAAAAGTAGAAAAATTACGATTTAAAATTACATAATTGTATGATACAATAACATCGATACTTCTATCGATAGTTTTTGTGTCCCTTATTTTCCAATTTTTAATCGCAATGATGACTTAGCTTAAAAGACTTTGCTTCCATGTCAATAAAAATAAAAAAATAACTGCATATATATTATTTATGGTTGCTCATTATAGGTAACTAAACCCGTCCATAATTTATTTCATAACCGATTATAGGAAAAAGATGGCAATATAAAGGATATATTATTATTATAGTAAAGAATTATATACTTTTTTGCTGTTCAGAGAGAATTAGGGCGTAGTCAAACTACAATTACAATGAATACGTTTCTGAGGTTACACACAAACAGACAAAATTTGTAACAATTATTGGGTTCTATTATGTTGATAATACCTTCTATAATAGTTTTTGTATGTACAGACAGCGATCAGTCACATTTTAATTGTATGTTGTATGTATAACTTAGAAGGTTTCCACGTTATTTAATACTAAACAATTTTTGTACGAAACTGTACAAGTACTGTTTTAGTATAAAATTTCAATACTGCAGATTGTTACATAAATTCATTTTAATATTCATTCTTTTAAAGGCAGGTCTTAAAATATAGTTTTTAGTTATGTAGCGTCACAAAAGGGAGCATTTATAAATTACGTTACACATTCGTGTCAAGATTTTAAAGGAAGTATCGTGTTCCTTATTGTCACATTTGTGATAATAGAATAGAAATCTTTATTCACTTTGGAATAATAAAATACTTATATTTTTAATTTAGTGCACATTCGAAAATCTGTCATCATGACAAGAACGAGCAAGTAACTTGCCTATTTCTCTTTGAAAAAATTGTTGCAACGTTACATTTTTATTTCAATATACAGGTTTTAAAATTTTACATTTAGTAGTGATTACTTTGTTTTATTGAACCACCTGCCACTCTTTGTCACAAAGTATCACACTTTGTCGAACCATCCCCACTGTAATGTGACGTAATTTATAGAGGAGCTTTAACAGTGTATATTTACCTTAATAGACTGTTAAAATTGTTATATTGTTATAGCACACGTTTAATAAGTAAACAAATAGGTACATACACAATGTCTTCTCAATACAGTATCATTTTAATGTTCAGAAATTATTTATATTATAATGTATCTACTGTTTCGACATAACAACTATATCTTGTTCCGTAAAAATACCGACTGTCGAATAAATGTGAAATATTATACATAAAAACTATACTAAACTGTGTAGGGTGTAAGCAGTTTTGTATCCGGAAAGTCGTTTTAATTTTGGCAATAATAACGTAAATATTATATACATAAATAATACTACGGAATTATTAAACTTAGGGTTATCCAAAGCCGTAAAGCTATTTTAAAAATCTTGATACAGCCAATCAGAATGCCGCTTTAAAGCGCGAAAACTGTTCTTCCAATTTTTATAACCTCGAATAGTACTCGAATCAATCAAAAATTAACTGTATTAGAAAAGTTTAAAAAACAAACTCGTGTCATGGTTACACTTGGGACTCATAAGGTAACATATTTCTATAATCGTTATACCGCAGTCTATATTTCCCTTGGTATGGATACTATTACTTCCCCCTTGTAATATTATATAGATGCCTACTAAAGTTGAAAGAGTCGATTTTTGTTTGCAATCTATAATTAAAAAAACAAACTAAACCAATATCAATATTTTTTAATCTAGAAATAATTATTTAAATTATCAACCAATAACCTCCTTTTTTTTAAGTAGAGATGTCTATTATATTTGCTAAAGCACAATAAATATCTTGACTAAATGTTATCAATTAATAATTACAAGTTATATGTTAAGCTTACTCATTATTCCCCATCATTTAATATCTTGGCAAAGTATTTAAATCACAGTACTTAAAAAATATTTATAACCACAATACAAAAAGAATGTATAACAATAATTAAAAGTAAAAAGTGCAGCGTCAACGGCCAAAGGATCTTAAATACACAGCTATAGTTAACGTGATCATTTGTTTTTGTCAGCATGGGTCCTAGTTACGTAAAGATGTTATTAAAAAGTGACCATTGTAACAAATTAAAATTTATGGCATTGCGATTGTCTATGAACCATTTAAAAGTTGCAGATGCTAGTTAAGTTGTACGATTAAAATTTGCAAATAATGTATATTAAAAAAAAGGAAAAATTTGCAACTGGTACTGCATACTATAAATTTTAATTAATATGTTTAAATAAACTCAGAAGAATTAATTACTTTTTAACCGAAATGAAAGTCTATCGTGTTTTTTTTATGTGTTTATTATCTCAACACGGCATGTAAACCCATTTGGTAAAAACTTTTTGTTTTAAAGAATATTTATAAACGATATTTATTTAGATGATTTTTCTTTGGTTTTTAAGTCAAAATATTGTATGTATTCTTGGTCTGTATATAGCTGCAAAATTGTAGATTTTAATCCCTTTCAAATAAGAATTATTAGTAATATCGTCAAAATATTAAGGATTCATTGTCTTTTTTTTTAATTCTCTGACGGATATAGAAACTTGCATTTTTGTACTTGCTGGAGACAACTGAAATGGGTCGGATGGTTACGTTACCTATAGATTTTGCAAGATTTTGTATTCATATTTGAGCGTAGACAAAGTGTTAAAACGAAATGAAGAGATATCATGCCTTACTTACTGTATTACTAAAACATAGTTATTCCATTTAATAGTATTATTATGTGATTAGTGTAAATAATATGTTTATAACCCGCATTGTTCTATACTTTGTAATGTTAGCTATATATTATATTTTTCATTAACATATATTATATGTAATTTCAACGAAATAAATAAATATTATACACTATTTCACGGGACTATTTATATTTTATCAGTTGTTTATAAATTAAAATTGCTTTAGAGTACCATAGTGCGTGTTTACTGCACAACTTAATAAATCGTAATTATTAGTGAATAAATGCGGATAACAAACATAAGCCATGCCGCACTTTGTTAAAAAAATAAATTTGTGCTATCCACAAATTTCGTCACACAAATTTCAAGTTTTCGACTCGTTCCCCCTCGTCCTTGTCACAGCTGTCACCTTAGTGTGACCCTTATGTCATATATTTTACAATTTACCTAGATATGATTAAATTAACCTGCCACTAGATTGACGTCGATTTGTCTTACATGATTGTTGAAGACAGTCTCTTAGGCCGGGATTTTTAATATTTTTTTCAAGTATTGCTTATTAATAGTGCTTGTTGTTGGCTTAATGTTAAAATTTGTTATATTTGTGATAATAAAACAAAGGTGTATCATAATTCATAGTTGATTTATAAGGAATTTAACATCGATACTTGCTACACTTACTAGTTTTTGTTCATTCATGGGCCTACCATTACACTCTTATGATATGTCAAATCTACTGTCAGAGTGCTTTCGAGCCAAGAACTGACAGGAAAGTTAGCACATATATTTTTATAAATTCATAAACATACTTTGTCGACCGAAGGAGTCGACAAAGTGTGACTCTCAATCCCTTAACGTGTGACATAATTTTTATATGATTCATTTATGAACAACTTCTAACATTAATATGTTGGACTGTGTTGTTATCTAACCCTATTGATAATTCTACAATTTTAACAGATTATAAATTAAAGGTTTATAGTATTTCACATACTTATTAGAGAATTATAATCACAAACTAAGTTATACGGTTTGCAAATGCAACTATATAATCTTATATATAAAATTCTCGTGTCACAGTTTTCGTTCCCATACTCCTCCGAAACGGCTTGACCGATTCTCATGAAATTTTGTGAGCGTATTGAGTAGATCTGAGAATCGGCCAACATCTATTTTTCATGTTCGATGTTCCCCCTCAATGTTAGGGGTAGTCCGCCTCTAATTTTTTTTTAATTTTAAGGCAAAACAACGTTTGCCGGTACAGCTAGTGTTCTATAAAATTTTTAAATCTATATTTTAAACCCTTTAGAATGAAAAATGTTTGCGACCCACATTATTAACATCAATAAGAAGCGTTGTCCCATAATTCTTAGCAATCAATCTTCCTGAAAATATATATGAATGAAGGAATAGTGTATAAATTACACTAACGGTGTAAGCTGGTGCACCAGTGGGGCAGTAATGATGATAGGATGAGAATGAAATTGGCCAGTTAGCCCATTGTGACGAATTCACTTTGAATGAGCTGACTATCGATGTCGGTCTGACATGGAACATTATCAGCAGTAGGACCAACAGATATCCCA